CCTTCTACTCATAGTTTTAGGCATCAAAAAATGGCTTACACATATTTTTATGTGTATGAAACTCCAAGTAAAATCATGGATGATATTTCAACAAAATGCAGCAAGACCTAAAGGCTAACCTAATTATGTCTCAAATATAATAAATTATTACTATCTGCATTCATTCAACAAATATTAATTAAGCACCTACTATATGCCAGGCCCTGCTCTAAATATTCAAAAAAGCCGTTGCCCTCAAGTCGATTCCGACTCATAGTGACCCTATAGGAGAGAGTAGAACTGCTCCACAGGGTTTCCAAGGAGCACCTGGTGGATCTGAACTGCAGACCTTTTGGTTAGCAGCCATAATTCTTAACCACTACACCACTAGGTTTTCTGTTCTAAATATTGGGATATAATTATGAATAAGACAGAGCTAATCCTTGCCCCTATGGAGCTTACATTCTCATAGACAAGAAAGATAATAGACAAGATAAATAAGTAAGACATATGTTAGACAGGATAAGTTAAATGTTAAAAAATAAATAAATAAAATTTAAACTGGATCAAAAACCAAATCCATTGCCGTCAAGTTGATTCCGCCTCACAGCGACCCTACAGGACAGAGTAGAACTGCCCCATAGAGTTTCCAAAGAGTGACAGGTGGATTTGAACAGCTGACCTTTTGGTTAGCAGCTGTAGCTCTTAACCACTACACCACCAGGGTGGTTTAATTTTCATTAATAGTGTGGCCAGAGAAGGTGTCATCGAGAGGTGACATTTTAATAAAGTACTATAGGAAGCAAGGAAATCAGCATAAAGGCACAGAGGACAGCAGTACAAACACCCCAAGACAGGGTTGTGCCTGGCATGTTCAAGGGACAAGGAGTCCAGTGTGGAAGCACTTTTCACTTAACTAAAATTATACTCACTAACATAAAGCATAATTTATTACCATGTGATTTCATATAATAAAAAATGGCAGTTCATGTTTGCCCCTTGTGGTTCTGGTGATGGCTGATATTGACATATACCGTCCTTTGCTTGGTGCTGAGCAAGCAAGGAAAATGGAAACAAATATATAAGTAGAAGGACTTCTGGTAGTTGCAAAATTTGCTGATTCAACATTGAGAGACAGCAAGATAGTTCTTTATTTTTTGAAAGCATATTCATTCAAATCATTTTTTCACTCAAAAAATATTTATTAAAGGCCTCCTATGTGTCTGGAATTGTTCTAAATAGGAAGATTGAATAGTGAAAATGTGCAATAATGCCTGCCCTCATGACATGTACACTCTAGCAGGGAAGCTGACAATTATCAAGTAAGTAAAATGTACATGGTATATCTGAGGGCGCTAAGAGCCATGGGGAAAATAAGTTAGTGAAGGGGGCAGTGAGTGATGGGATAATGACTTGCAATGTTAAATAGGGTGCCAGTGTAAATACAACAGGATTGCATGATAGAAGATAATCGGGGGCACTGTCGATTGTGTAGTCAGGGAAGAATTTCCTGTGGAACTGACATTTGAGAACTGAATGATAAGGAGATAGATAGCCTTGTGTTGTGGATTGAATTGTATCTTTCCAAAATATATGTGTTGGAATCCTAAACCCTATACCTATGGATGTAACTCTGTTTGGGAATTGGCTTTTCTTTGTTAGATTAATGAGTCATGTCAGTTTAGGATGAGTCCTAAACCTAATCTCTTCTGAGTTATATAGAGAACAGCATAGACACAGAGACATGCACACAGACACAGCGGGAAGGCAGACACTAGCTGATGATGACTAAGGCAGATGAAATCTACAAGCCCAGACACTCCAAGGCTTGCCAGCTATGGTTAAGCACTTGGCTACTAGCCGAAATGACTCGACGGTACCTAATAACAACAGTAACCGAAAGTTTGGTGGTTCAAACTCACCCACTGGCTCTTCAGGAGAAAGATTTGCCCACCTGCTTCTGTAAAGATTACAGACTAGAAAACCCTATGGTGAAGTTCTACTCTGTCACATGAAGTAGCTATGAGTTGGAATTGACTTGATGCACGCGATAATGACAACAACAACTGAAGTTGAAATACACAAGAAGGACTTCTCCTTAGAACCACACCCTGAATTCAAACTTCTAGCCTCCAGAACTGTGAGAAATTAAATTTCTGTTCTTAAAAGCCATTTGTGGTATTTTTGTTACACCAGCACTAGGAAACTAAGAAACTATGCTATATTTTGGAGAAGAATCTTCAAATACTCTTAGGGAGGAGTGAACCTGGAGTGTTAAATGACCAAAAGCCAGCATGTCTGGTGCACGGTGAATGAGCACTTGGACGGAAAGAAATGAAATCACAGAGAGGCAGGGACAGGTCCCACCAGCCAAGGTAAGATTTTCAATGTTCATCTGGGTCTGTATCTACAGTGCACCTTGACTGTTGGGTGGCATTGTTAGGTGCTGTCGATTTTGACTGATAGTGACCCCATGTGACAGAGTGGAACTACCTCATAGTGTTTTCTTAACTGTAATCTTTATAGAAGCAGATCGCCAGGTGTTCCTCCCATGGAGCTGCTGGATGGGTTTGAACCACCAATCTTTTGCTAGCAGCTAAGTGCTTAACCGTTTGCACCACCAGAGTTCCCTGACTGTTGGGTCCAAAACCCAAACCAAACCTGTTGCTGTTGAGTCAATTCTGACTCATAGCCACCCTATAGGGCAAAGTAGAACTGCCCCATAGGGTTTCTAAGGCTGTAATCTTTAAGGAAGCAGATAACCACGTTTTTCTCCCACGGAGCCTCTGGTGGGTTCAAACAGCCGAGCTTTTGGTTAGCAGCTGATTAACCACCTGTCACTAGGGCTCCTAAATCTGATTCAGACAGCTGTTTTGTTCCTCTGCATCACTCCTGGTGCCTTTACCCCAATCATTTCAGCAGTCAGACTATCAAATGCTTACTATGCCAGGCACCAGGCTAAATGATGGGGGTACAGTGTTGACCAAGACAGAGACAGCCATCTCTGCCCACACTGAGCGTATATTTCAGTGGAGAGATATAAATAAAATGATTATAAGTATCATGAGAATTAACCTAGACCAGAGCTTAGGTCCAGTATTATGCAACAATGAAATATTATTTTGTGTTATATATTATCCATGCAAAAAAGTCATTCCAAGATTCCTTCTCCTACTGTAACAATAAAATACATTAAAAAAATCCATTTATATAGTGCTTGATAATTTCCTAAGTGCTTTCATATACATTACCCCATTTAATATTCACAATAACTGTGATAGCGATTAAACAACAACAACAAAAAAAAACCCAAACCTGTTGCCGTTGGGTCAGTTCCAACTCATAGGGACCCTACAGGGCAGAATAGAACTGCCCCATAGAATTTCCAAGGAGCACCTGATGGATTTGAATTGCCGACCTTTTGGTTAGCAGCCATAGCACTTAACCATTACACCACCAGGGCTTCTGTGATAGAGGTTAGTCAATATAATTATATTCATTTTAAAGATGAATAAGCTGAAGCTCTGAGAATTCAAATGACTTGTCTACAGTCAGGAAATGAGTTAGTAATGTAGGCAGTCCTACAGGTCTGCTCTGAGCTAAATATAGTAAAACTCTTTACCCAACAGCACTACACATTTAGTTTGGAGGCAGAGGAAGAGCGAACATAGCATCCTCATTCTTAAGAAATACAGGATCTATTTAAGGAGGTGTTTAGATAAGCATCAGATAATAAATTGTGCAGAAATTATGTGCGCATATGTAGTTAAGAAATAATCAGCTTAGTATAGGATTATTTTAGAAACTTATCTTGACAGAAGTTTATTTTAAACTAGCCTTGGTAGTGCAGTGGTTAAGAGCAGGTCAAGCAGTTTGAATTCACCAGCTGCTCCTTGGAAACCCTAGGGGGCAGTTCTACTCTGTCCTATAGGGTCGCTATGAGTTGGAATCGACTTTACAGCAATGGGTTTGATTTTTGGTTATAAACAGATTATGTATCCAGATTGTAATGTTTTTATATTCTGAAATGTCTCTGAGCTTGTTTTTCTTTCCCATTCTCTATATCACTACCAATTAAATAACTTTTTGCCAATCAAACAACCAATTCCTCTGAGTTTATTGCAGAGTTTAGGCATCTACGGTATTTCTTTACTGCATAGATTAATTTCAGCTAATCTCTCTCTCTCCTCAGTACCCAAGATTTCTGCCTAGGTATTCCAGAAAATTTTATTCAGCCTTCTATTCTAATTATCTTATTCCTAGCTCTAAGATTGGTGCCAAGAATTTTATTTAAATGACCTCTTCCTAGAATCCTAATTGTCAACATTGAGGAAAGCTTTATTCGTTCAATCTTCCTATATTTTCTTAGAAAATCAGTAGAGAATTCTACTCAGTAGGAAACCCTGAATTTACTGCCTTATTAAATGAACATTCTCTGCCACTCTTATACAGTGCAATGATTGATTTTTCCAGTCTTTGCTTGATGTCATCAAATGTCTGGCTCTATTAAAACTGATTATTTTACACTATAATTTATTAAAACCACCTGGCATACCATCACATAAAAATACATTTCATATTTTTAAAATACTAGCATTATCTTATTACAAATATTAAAAATGTAATCTCTTTATCCACCCACTGTATTTGCAAATGATTTCTCTATTAATTATAAACTGCTACTTACATGTTTCAACTATCAAGTGATTAAGACACAAGAAAAAAAACATACAATTTCAACAATTTATTTATGTTTATATGGTTTATTATCTTTTGCTTCATGGCTATGAACTGGAGCAAGTAATTTAATGTACTGAAGACACAGACTGCTGTGAAACCGTCATTATGTGACAGCATTCTAGGTTTTGTGCTAAGTGTTTTTGGTATCCTATTTTATCAACCCTATAAATAGATACTAACTTTGAAATATATGTTCCTCTAAAAATCCAGTCAAGATCAAAGGCACATCTTTTAATAGAAACTGATGAGAAACATATTTGTAAAAAGTGTAAAGCACTTACGGGAACCAGGAATTTTTTAATCTCTTCTAATGCATGACTCATACGTGAATAAGCTTCCCCTGGCGGAGCAAACACTTCAATTAATACATGAAGTTCATCACTCAAGTGGGCATATTTGGCTTCCCCACTCTTCCTTAGTTCTTCTTCCTGTGAAAGAGGTTATTTTTAGAAACATAAATCCACTCATTTTACATTGATTTAACACTTACTGAGAATATGACAAAAGGGCATAATCTAAGCAAATTTTCCCTAAGTAGAAACCCTCTGAGAAATAAAATTCTGATAAAAGTCATTTAAAGATTTTAAAATCATTTTTCAGTGTTTGAATTATTTTAAAAAACTGGCATAATTATCATCTACAACAAGTTTTAATCAGCAAAATGAAAATGCTAAAATCCTGGAAAAAAAGTTACAAGAATGTCATTAATGCCTACAGTACACCACTACATTCTGCAAGAAGATTGTTTTTGTGTCTGACGTGTAATATTTTGCAGACAATAAACCACAGATTATCACTGTGCTCTTTAAGAAAACTAGGACTTTCTAGCTACTTTTTGAGCAGTTGTGAAAAGGTCACTTGATGATGAAAAGAGAGCTAAGTATGCAAAACCAAGGCTTATCCTCCCACCTATGTTCGCACTGGCCCAGATGACTGAACCTCATACCACATCTTGCTGCCTCCTTTTGGTCAATAGGGGTGTACTACAGGGATGGTTGTTAAACATAATGTTGGCATTGCTTCTTCATGACCTACGTATCTTCTGCTTAGCCAACAACACATTTATATTGGATCAGATTTTCTATAGTCTGTATTCAAGTCATTACGGAATCCTGATTAATACAGTACAGGCAATACATATACTGTGGTAATCTGTGCTAGGTATTTTACACATATCATCTCCAATCTCACAACAACTTTACATATTACTCACATTTCAGATAAGATTGAAAGAATTTAAGTGGCTTCAGCAATGCTGAGATTCATATCCAGCTCATTCTGATTCCAAAGCCTGTGCCCTTAACTTGTAACCAGATTTACATTTCATAGGATTTCAAGGAAGCAAAATTTGGTTAAAAAGCTAACATAAATGCTATTAATTATGTTTTACCTTTCTTGATCCCCTTTATCAAATAAATCAACAGTTGTTTCACTAAATTCCAGAAGATAAAAATAAAGAAATACTTTCCAGTTTAATGAGGTGATATAGCGGAGAAGTGACACGACTAGATCTAAGCTGAATAAATCAAAGGGAATCTGCAATTGATTTTATATGGGTCAACTGCCTGACCCATGCTAATGTGTTTATCTGATTAGAAATGCCCCACATTTCAAAACACGAAGGGTCCATGAGAGTAAGAGAAGCGAAGGTGTCCCTGCTTACCTGTACATCCCCCACCTACTAAAATCTCTCTCATAACAGCACCTTTTGACGTAGTATTCACTCTCCACTTCCTTGAGAATATGTTCTATCTCTAACTAGGACTTTTTACTTAAAAGGGCTTTTCTTAGTGTCCAGTTTTCACTTTTTGGAGGAGAAGCAGCACGTGATTGAACTAAATGCACCCACTGGGTATAGTAAACATTTCTTTCCTCTTTAGACCCTGCTGGGATACAAGCTGCTTGTTAATTCTGGGGCCAGCTTCTTTGGGCAAAGTGCTGGGGCAGTTGAATCAGAGGATTCCTGATACTGTCCCTTCCCATTACTTCCTAAGCAGTTTTCCAGCTGGTATCGCAGGCCACTTGATAGCCAAATTTTATAAGGTCCACAGAATATGACGTGCGGAGTTCAATTAAAGAACGCAAACACTTATTTTAAAGGTTCTCAAATGAAAGAGCCTGATTAGGCATCTGGAGTTGAGCCAATGGGCTGGTGTTTACGAAAACACATTTTGCCATTTTAAGACGTATTCACCTCTTTTCCTATTATCCTTTAAATGAGCAATTCTGCCCCTATGGTGAGGGAGACAAGAAAAGCGGAATATGTGACATTTTATAAGTTTTTTTTTTCCTTTAAAAATAAAAGGATGACAGGGTTAACACCTTAACACCAGCATGTTTCATGTGCTATTAAAACAACAAAAGCACACAATATGTCACATTAAAGTAATTTACATTAGAAGTCTCTAATCCAGGGTGAGAGTTTTAAAGAGGAAAGAGATCATTGGGATTAATATGGTAGACGGGTGGCTAGAGTAGTTTGGATGGTCAGTAGAAATGTTCTCATCTCTAATATTTGGAGAGCTGAGAGACTTGCTGTAGAGGATTTTCTATATTTTTTAACTTTCCCAAAGATTCATGTCACTATTGCTTTGCTATCCCCTCCAGGGAATAAAGCTGTTTGCTTGGGAGTACTTAGTTCTAATACTTACCTGTTGCAGCAGATAAACCACTCGATCTCAGTGCCTTAACACATCAGACATTTATTTCTTGCCCAGGTGAAGCCATGAACAGATGTTCATGATATCTGAACAACTCTCTTCCACTCAGCAATTTAAGCAGCCAGGCTCTTGTCATCCTTTGGCTCCTCCATATTCACCGAGTTGCTGTCAACTCAGGCCACCAATAGAAAGTAAAGAATATGGTGACATGGTGGGCAACCTGCGGGAGGTTTCTAAAAGCCAGGCCTAAAAGGAGCATACAGCCATCTCACCTACATTCCACTGGTCATAAGGCTGGTAAATGTCTAGCAGTGTGCTCAGGAAAACGATGACACGGGCCCAGAGTATGGCTAGCCTATCTGCCCCATAACACAGACTATGTTTCCAGTAATGTTCTAGAACAACGTGGTCTAGTGAAAACATAATGTGAACCAATTTAACATTTTTAGTAGCTACGTTAAAAAAATACAAAGAAATAGGTGAAATTAACTTTAATATCTTATTTAACAATATATCTGAAATATATTATTTAAACATGCAATCAATATAAAAATTATGGAGATAATTTAAATTATTATTATTTTTTAGCTAAGTCTTTAAAATCCAGTGTGTATTTTGAAATTATAACACATCTCACTTTGGACTAACCACATTTCAAGCGCTCAACAGTCACATGTAGATAGCGGCTAACATATTGGGCGGCACATTCTTGATTTTTTCAGAGGTAACAGGGGAAAGATTCATATTCGTGGCCTCTAGCAGTTTATAGTAAGTTGGGGGTGATACAATCAACACACAAAAATAATTAAAAGAGTAAGTAAGTAGACCTTCTGCCTGCATCATGAACAGGCAGTAACAGAAAATACCCTAAAATTTTAAAGTGAGAATCAGAGAAATTACTTTTTAGAAATGACCCAAGAATCTCATTTTCAGATGAGGAAACTTGAGATCCTCTGAGATTAAGCAACTTGCTAGGGGTCACAGAGTTAGTTAGGATTACAGCCAGGACTCAGTAGCATTAAGTGATAGTGCTAATAAAGACTTTGAAGAAGGAAAGTCAACATAACTGAAACTTCCATGAGTTTGTTTTTAAAACTAGACTTTATATATTCAAATATGTTATATTTGAACATACTCATTGAGGTGTTTTTTAACAAAGTAAAACTTCCCAAGCTTTAGTTTTTTCATCTGTGAAATGAAGATAACAGCACTTGCTTCACAGGGTTTTTGTAAGGTCAAGGAAAACTAAAAAACATTTTGTAAACTGGAAAATGCTATATATCTGGGGCCTAACCACTTATTAAAATATAGAGTGTTGATACATTAGATATTAAATATCTATCAGTATTAATATATATATTAATATTATTAAATATTATTTATATTATTATAATTTAACATAATAATATAAACGTTATTGTTTATATTATAAATAATAATATTTATTAATAATATTAAGTACTTTATCTTAAAAACTCTATTGAGCACAGTTCTACTCTGACATACATGGGGTTGCCATGAGTCAGAACTGACTCAGTGGCAACTGGGGATTGTTTTGTTTTATTATTGTAGTATTATCAAGATATTATTTGGCTGTTTCAACTGAGACTAAAATAAATGTGGCTCCAACAAGTAGAAGAGCTATTTCTCTCACAAGTAAAAGCCCAAGCTGTAGGTTGCTAGAGGAGAAGGGGGTTCTTCTCTGCACCCGAATTCAGGAATCCAGGTCCCTCCTGCTTTTAACTCAAGCACACTCTAGTATGTTGTTCTCATCCATGTTGATGAAGAAGGCTGTCCATCATCACTTCTGAATTCCACTCCATGGAAAGGGGAAATAAAAAGTGGAAGACAAAAAGCTTCTCTTCAAGGAAACGTACTGGAGGTTGCAAACATAATTTTTGCTCATATCCCTTAGGCAAAACCATAGTCATATGGCTGTCATGATGCAAGGGAGGCCATGACTATGGTCTCAAACTCAGCATCCACGAGTCTATCTAAAACATGAGGTTTCTATTATTGACTGGAAAAAGGGAGAATGGACACTGGGTGACAATGAGCTGTCCTTGCCATTCAGTCCTCATTCAGGGCTAGTTGAAATAACACTTGGTTATTGAATCTAATTTTTGTGAATAGCTATTGAGTGTCTGCCAAAATATCCAGGTTTTGTTTTCAAAAGTAAGACTATATCATTCAGTTAGACTTATTACACTAAGCTCCATGGTTTATTTGAATGTGTCCAGACATTATGGTCATCCCCCCAAAATCACAAGTGCCTAGATACTGACCTGACCCATTGCTGTCAAGTTGATTCCAACTCATAGCAACCTTATAGGACAGAGTAGACCTGCCCCACAGGTTTTCCAAGGAGTGGCTGGTAGATTTCAACTGCCAACCTTTTGGTTAGCAGCCAAGCTCTTAATCACTATGCCACCAGGACTCCAGTAAGTGCATTTATAATAATTCAATTCAATCTTGAGTTATATTTTAGACAGTCTCAAATACATTGTGGGGAAAAAAATTCATCTTGGCAATAAATGCATTATCTAACAATTTGATTTTGAATGGGACAGTAGTGTTTTAATGTTTATTCTTGGCATTAAAAATAAAACTCTGTGTAATTAATTTTTGCATGTTTTATAATAAAGGTCGTAGTTCCCTGAAAGGTTACACCAGACTGAGCAGAGGGCATAATAGGAAAAAGAGTAAAGAAAAAGTTTCATAAAATTAGAAATGTTAGAAAAATCTTATGTGCAAATAGAAATGAATAG